TCAGTGATTTAGGTTCTACTCCATTGTTGTAGTTCATAGGTTCGAACCTACAGCGTTGCACATACATGGGTCCCAGTAACCCGGTTAATACTGCCATGTGTTTAATTATATGTAGTATGCCGTGTCATGTACCTGCACCTTCTTAAGGTGCGTAGTACCTTCACTGGATCTTGTAAGGTACTCTAACAAAGTTCCCATGTATATGGTACACCTGCCTAAGGTGTTGGTGACTGTACAGCAGGAATGTACTGGAGAATGACAGAGTGATCTAATTATTTGTCTGAGTGATTTATAGTGTTCGTCTGTTAAGAGAACTCACTTTTGTTATTGCTACCGAGGTTGTTAAGAAGGTCTTATCTGTGAGATATTGAAATAATTCTTTAATTCTTATTTAACAGATTTACCCCCTGCCTAAACTTATAGAACACTGCTGAATGATTTACTCAGGTTTAGCTCATGTTCTAAGTAGGTTCCATATTTGCTAAATTGTACTGTATTGAAAACTTTGGATTAGTGGGGTAACTCGGACGCTGTTCCTCCCGCGTAACTGCTTCTGCTCTGGCCACCACATGAAAACTGGCCAGAGGAAGGAGGGAGGGAGGAAGGGAGGGAGAGAGAGAGGGGGAAAGGGAGGGAGGGAGAGAGGAAGGGAGGGACGGGAAGGGACATGAGAGGGGAAAGTGAGGAGGGTGGGGTAACTTTACAACATTCCCTTCTGAAGAGAATTCTCAGGTTAGAGGTCGAAAACCACAGAGGTCTTCCCCTTATCTCTGTTTCTAAACTAACATTCTGTGTTCCTTTCTATTGATACATATTTATTTTCAGTTTGATGTAAAACTTAAGAAAATCACAATTTAAATTGGTTTAATAATAATAATAATAATATAATAATAATAATAATAATCATAATTAATTTTAATAATAAATAATAATAAATAATATTAATAATAATAATAATATCTTTATTTCTACAAGTACATTTACTAAGGCTATTTACAGTCATTAGCTGATATAAATGACATTACTAACATAAAAAGCTGCTTGTTATGCAGAGCATTTCTGGGCAAATTAGGTCAGTTTTTCTCAGGATGCGGAACATTTCCAGTCAAACTACTCCAGGTTACCATTTTATGACGGGGAATATAGGACAAACGGTTTAAAGAACACGCCCAAATGTTTTACCCTCACTGAGAATCGAACCCAGACCCTCGCCGTGTGAAGCAAGAGCTTCAGCCACCAGGCAACGGGGCACCGTGGCTCTCTGATTTGTACGTTAGCTGTGAGCTATTTCAGTCAAGGTAATCTGAATTAGCTTTTAACTGTTTCAATCAAGGTATTGTGGGCTAGTAGTGAACTGTTTCAGCCATGGTATTGTTTTTTGCTTTGGTTTATTGAGTTTGAAGCTTATTGACTACACAGTCGTGAAATTTGCGTGTTACCTATACACTACCAATGAAGGACACACCCTATTCACTAATTCAAAGTTTAAAATAAATGTATATCTTCTGTGATACAACACATACTGGAGCAGTTTTCACGGGCTGGAACCTCTGTCTTGTCTGGAACTGTGAGATCTTAGGAACATCGTCTTAAGTCTTGTCTGTTTTTCGCTTCGCACTGAGACCACCACATATCCTGAAACACAATAAATGTATTGATGTAATGTAGATACGATACTGTCCAAATGCATATAAACTGTTTTCTTTCAGTGTATACAAATTAAGAGTGAAATGCACATTGCAGTGTATACAAAAGGCTAGTGTACTATATTTATTGCTTCTCTTATAATTCAAATTCAGACGATTTTCACTTTTTTTCCACAGGCAGCACGTCCATCTGGCTGACCGTGACCTTCACCATTGAAAGATACATCGCCATCTCTCATCCAATAAAGGGAAAGGTGAGACATTATCCAAAGTTCTTATTGTTTGATATTGAGAGTTACTGGTAACACGAGGGAGAGGAGGTGGGGCCATCGTTCCAGTACACGAGAGGAGAATACTCTGTTTTCATCCAATAAAACCAATAGGTTCATCGTCAGCGTATCCAATCAGGTTTGAAAGAGCGAAATTCACCATTTGCGTCATCCAAATCAGGGCGTGGAACAGCGTGATTGATTCCCCCTAAAAACGCATCCCAGAAACGAACATTGTTTTTCTACAATCAAAAAAAAAATTTTTAAGCAAAAGAAAAGATCACTGAAAATAAATCAGGATACCTTTTATTGTGTCCTGTTATTTAATGTTCTTTGGACAAGGGCTTTTAGTAGTCAAAACGGCAAATAAAAACTGTATTTTGCAAAATTTTCTTCCCTTAAATGAATTAAAGGGAGAAAATTTTCTTTAAAAAACTAAGATTTTTTTTGTTTATAAAAACAATGAAAAAATTGTTTTTTAACTTTTTTGCCAATGTAGCAAAAAAAGTTAAATAGCCAAAAATTTTTTTTTTTTTAAAAATTTAAATGAGTAAGAAAACGAGAGGGTGGTTTGATAAGGGTACTAGTTTAAAACGTGTCCCAAAACAGTAACTCCCCACGAGTGAAATTGTCAGAATTTAATTGGTACTGTTTTTTTCTTTAAATATTTTTTTTTATCCCAAAAAAAATGCCTCAAAGCATGGGAAAAATTATTGAAAATGGGTTTCATATAAGTTTGTCACGTTGTAAGGTGTTAATTTGTTTTTTTTTTTTTTTTTCAAGTTCGGCCTTCCCTTAGAAAAACATCAAGGGTTTGATAACAAGTTTTGGATAGGGAAAAAACCCGGCCATATAGAAGAAGCCCCTTGTGTATTTTTAAAAAAATACGGTGAAAAAATACATGAGGGGGTTTTGGGGGGGCCTGGTTGGACCTGACTAGCTTGGATACCGGGTCGGGTGCCGTGCCCTTCCTTAAGGGGAAGTGACCTGACTAGGGGGTCTTGTTCAGGCCGGGGGGTGGCATGGACCGCTTCGCAGGGGTAGTACCCCTGCTGCAGTGTTCATTCTTTTTATGTTCTTATGTTCTTAACTCAGGAAAATTTTGGAAGAGGTATTTAAAACTCAGATAGGAAATTGGGTGTAGACCGTAAGTTTGTGACTTGAAAATGGTCCTAGCCCTAGCCGGACACAGGCGTCGTGTGGGGCCCCTCTCTCTTCCCATGTGGGGTTTATTTATGTTTTGTTCCAGTCACGGTATTGGTCTCTTTGATCTTTAATCGTAGAGTTCTTACAGGAGGTGTGTAATAACTGAGAAAATTAGGGGTTCCTTATACCGAAAAGTTACGCACCCTAGTGAAAACACGGGTTGCATAAACGTAGAATTATGCGTAAGATAAGAAACGTGGCTGGCTGGACCTTTTAGAGCAGTGGTTCCCAAATTTTTTTCAGTTTTACCCAAATTTAACTGCACATAAGCATTTACCCCTTTCAAAAAAATGTTTTATTTTGATATTATGGCTAAATTAAAAAACATTTGGGAAATTTTTTCTTTTATTTATTGTATTTGAACATTGTGCATTTCAAATGACTATTACCAAAGATGTCAAAAACATCAGTGGGGTGGATGGAGTTGCATCTTGAAACTGTTTAGGAATTTTTCTGGTTTGGGGAAAGGACGTTTTTTCCTTTCCTTTTTTTTTTTTCATAAAAATTTCCCCCGGAAAATTTTTTTTAAAAAAAAACCCCAACCCCTTTACAAAATTTTCGGAAACCAAAAAAACCACCCCGGGGAACATTTTTAACTTTTTTCCCATTTACCCTCCCCCAAAACCCCCAAACACACAACAAAAAAAAACCCCAAAACCCACCCCCAAAAACCCCCTTTTTCAAGCCCCTTCAAACGCTCTTTTTTTTTTAAAACCAAAAAACCCCCAAACCAAAAACCGCCCCTTTCAAACCCAACCAACTCACCCCAAAAAACCCCGGGGGGGCATCAAACACCCCCCCATTTAAAAAAACCCACCCCCAAAAAAAACAAACAAAAAAAAACCACCCACAAAAAAAAACCCCCCAAGGAACCAAACCCTTTTACCCAAAAGCCAAACCTTCCCACCCAAAAAAACCCCCCAACAAACAACCCCCAATTTTCCCCCAAACCCAAACGGAACCCCCAACCTGGACTTAAAGGGCAAAACTTTAAAAAAAACAAAAAAAAAAAAAATACAAAACCTCCTAACCAAAATAAAAACAAAAAACCCCCCCAAAATTTTCCCAAACAAACCCCAAAAACCTTTTCCCTTTTTCCTCTAAAAAAAAATAAATTAAAAAAAAACACCCCCAAAAGGGGGACAAAAAAAACTGAAAGTGCCACCCTGGCATCGTTTGCAACTTTCCCAAGCGAGTCCTCTTTTTTTTTTTTCCCTCCCCAGCAAAAGTTGAAAAGCCCTTCTGGGCACAGTTATGTTTTTTTGAGAATGTTTACCAAACAATTTTTAAAGGGCTCTTTGGACAGGGTTGGCGATTTCGGTAGTCTGAAACCCAAAAAGGGAATCGGGCTTTTTTGGTTTTTGGAAAATTCTTTTTTTAAAGGCTTCATTGGCTGCTTTGTGATCCACCCCTCCTTTGCGGGGGAAATCATCATCATGAAGGGGAATCTTTGGTACAGAAAAAGGGGATGAATGACCCACTGAAGATTTGGCGGTTTTTGGCACTCCGGGAAAAAAAAAGGGTAGTGATGCTGCTTTTTTCCCCCCTTAAAAATGGTCGCTCTTTTTTTTTGATGGTCTGTAAAAAGTGACCCAGTTTCATGACAAATTCCCTCAACAAATGGTCTAGGGTGGGAAAATGGGCGATCACCCCTTTCTCCAAGCGCCGAATCCGAGTCTCTTTTTCCCCAGAAATGCGTCCCCCAGTGTGTGGGATCAATGACATTTGTTTTTCGGCCCTGGATTTTGCAGGTTTTACCACTGTTCAGCCCCCGCAAATATGTCACCCAAGTAAAAAATTTCGAGCAAGCCCTCCTTTCGGTAAACCCTTGGTAGAAAAGGAGATCCTTTTTTTTCCCAAGGTTTTTCCCTGAACAGCTTTTGGGAAAGTCAAGGACTCGACGTAAAACCTTTGCCTCGTGAAAAACCCAACGAACATCGGGATGGTAGAGCAAAACTTGTTTACTCCCTCTCCAATTTCCTTGCACAGCTCCTTGATATGCGCAATTTCACATTTTGGACTTGAGAATTTGACGTTTTTCCCCAAAACCAATTTTTCAAACACTATAAAAAAAAAAAATAAAGTGGGACCAAGTAAACCAAGTCCTAACCGATTAGCTGGGAAAAATATACTTGCAACACAGACCCCAAATTATTTCGAACAGATTAAATCGGGGGCCTCGATGTATGCCAAGGCTTAAATTTCCTTTTAAGAAAAAAAAGGGGGAGTAGTGTAAAAAGAAAAAAGCAGGCGCTCCTTTAAAAGGCGCGGAAAAAAAATAACAGGGGCGGCTTAAAAAGGTCAATTTATCTGAAATGCGTAGGGGGGCCTTTGGGCAAGGGAAAAAAGCAAGAAATCGAATTTAAGCTAAAAAAAATTTCCTTTTGGAAAGTCGGAAACCCGGGGGGAAGAACTAAAAGCCAAAAATGAAATCGAAAAAAAAACCCAAAAGTATTTTTCCCCTTTCCCAAAATCAAATTCGAAAACATGCCCAGTTTTGGGGCCCCCTACTTAAAAAGATGGGCCCTACACAGAGACGCAAGGAAAATAAAGTGAGCTACTAAAAGCCCAATTAAACTCATTTTTTAGCAACCCGCTAAAAGACTGAGGGGTCAAAGACCCAAAATGTTTTTTTTTTTATGAGAGAGCAAAAAATTTGATTAACACAAGCCTTTTCCGAGTTACCCTGACGCCAAATGACTTCGAACAGGCGATAAATGACATGCCCATGCACTCTGCCCCAGGGCAGACTCTTGGAACTCTGTTTTCCCATCAAAAAACTGCAAGAACCCCCCAAATCACGACCCTTTTTCCATCCTTGGAGAGGGAGCGGGGGACACGGGGGTCGTCCCACATTTTACTAAAAACAACAGACTACCCCCACCCCACAAAGGGGGCGTAAGCAACAGCAAAGAACTACAGACCAATAGCACTAACATCCCATTTTCATAAAATCTTTGAAAGGGTCCTAAGAAGCAAGATCCCCAAACCATCTAGAAACCATCAGTTACACAACCCAGGGAAAAATGGGTTTAGAACGGTCGCCCCCTGTCTGTCTCAACTATTGGATCACTACGACAAGGTCTAAATGCACTAGACGACAAAAGAATGCAGAATGTAATATTTTACAGACTTTGCAAAACCCTTCGACAAGTTTGACCAGGGCGTAATAGCGCACAAAATGCGTGCTAAAGGAAAAACAGGAAAAAGTCGGTCGATGGATCTATAATTTCCTCACTAACAGAACACAGAGAGTAGTCGTCAACAGAGTAAAGTCCGGGGCCCAAGCTACGGTGAAAACCCTCTGTTCCACAAGGCACAGTACTCGCTCCATTTGTTCCTCATCCTCATATCCGACATAGACAAGGATGTCAGCCACAGCACCATGTTTTCCCTTTGCAGATGACACCCGAATCTGCAGGGCGTGTCTTTCCATTGCAGACACTGCAAGGCTCCAGGCGGACATAAACCCAAAATCTTTCAGTGGGCTGCAGGAAAACAATATGAAGTTCAAGGGATGAGAAAATTCAATTACTCAGATATGGTAAACATGGGAAATTAAATCTTCATCAGAGTACAAAACAAATTCGGCCACAAAATAGAGCGAAACACCAACGTCAAAGACCTGGGAGTGTCATGTCGGAGGATCTCACCTTCAAGGACCATAACATTGTATCAATCGCATCTGCTAGAAAAATGACAGGATGGATAATGAGAACCTTCAAAACTAGGGAAGCCAAGCCCATGATGAACTCTTCAGGTCACTTGTTCTATCTAGG